GGTTAAATCATAGTCCTCAAAGGGTTAAATCATAGTCCTCGAAAAAGGTTAAATCATTGTTCACAAAGTGTCAAGGTTACAGTATTAACTCCACCCGACTATCACTTTGCATGTGTCTGTATCTGGGTGCGTCAAGGCCAAACACGGGTACAACTTGGTGGTTATCGAGTGTTATCGCCTCTCCTCCACCAGATCCTGCTCCTCTCTTTTGTTTTGTCGTGTCGGTGTGGGCGGAGGAAGAGGAACACAAGGCTTTTCCATACACCATTTAAACTATGCATTGATATATAAAGAAATGAAAGAGAGAGAGAGAGAGAGAGAGAGAGAGAGAGAGAGAGAGAGAGAGAGAGAGAGAGAGAACAAAAACGAATAACATCTCTCACTCCTCACCATCATCTGAGAGACACAAGCCACAGACAACAGAGGCAACACATAATCACAAGACACTGGCCACAGCATACCCAGGCTTAAGGACTCTTTGAGGCACCACTGACATTTGATGGGCTGCCTTACAACTCTTTTTTACGGGTGCTTACCCTAATGAAACACCTATGGTCCTTGTTGATGTTTGTTATCGCTAAAGGGCCCCCAGTGGCAGGGTGGGGAGGGAAGGAAGAGGGGGAGGTGAGGAAGATGGTGGAAGGGAGAACAGTGGGGAGGAGGGGGAATAGAGAGAGGGTGGGGGAGGAGGGAGGAAAGTGTGAGGGGTGAAGAGAGGAAGAAAGGAAGAAGGTGGGGAGGAGGGAGGAAGCTGAGGAAAGAAAAGGGAGGGTAGGAGCATGAGGAAAGAATGGGAGAGAGGTGGGGGGAGGAGGGAGGAAAGTAAGGGTGAAAAGGTGGGATGGAGAGAGGAAAAGAGAGAAAGAGATGGGTAAGGGCGAGAGAGGACAAGTGAGAAAGTACCCATTTACGGCTGAACTCCCAATGTAATTATAAGGAACGATACTCCGTAAAATACCAGTAACAACAACGTTTGCCATTTTCTAATTTGAGAGGGGAGGGCACAGCAAAACAACTTCACGCAAACAATTTAGAAATTAAATTCGTCTACGCAGAGCTTTCCTTTAATTTCTTTTCGGATTGTACTCGGTTTACAAGATTAAAGAAACAACGAAGTATTGACAATAATACAATCAAATTTGCTAAGTTTAAAAGATGAACTTAATAGCTAACGAAACACCACAGACAAAATGACAAAGAATGAGGATTCTCTACCCCTTGTTCCACCTCACACAAAACTGTAAGACGGAGTTAAAATTATAGAGACGGTGAAAATCAGGTTTTTCCTGGAAGGTGGTATAATCTCGCTTCCTCTTGACGATCATTTATCAACATCTTAGTATAAAACTTCCAGAGTAAATTTAATACACAAAATAAGGCATAAAGACACTGCTTTTATAGGAATAATGTAAACATAAGAACATTAAGCAATTTTTCCTCATTAAACTGTTCATCAGTGACGAGGTTCACCTCTAACCCAGCAGACATGTAAACAGTAACATGGTTTTTTGATAAACCTGTACAGTAAGTAAGTGGGTGTACTGCCCTGTCAATAGTCAACGAAGGTGACCGGAAATTGGTCAAAAGCTGCGTTAGTGAGAGAAGCGCGTGTTAGACTGGGGCCAGAAGAGGGATGGATAAGATTTCTCGTCGTGGGTCAGAGAGTCATGTAAGACGTTCATAACGACATGACTGAGCGAGGGCCACTGACCGACAACACAGGAAGATTCTTTTTAGTGGAGAGAATAAAAGTCCTTTCTGCTCTCCAAAACAAGTGTGGTGCAAACTGTGGTACTCCAGCAAGACGGTGCAGACTGTGGTACTCCAGCAAGACGGTGTAGACTGTGGTACTCCAACAAGACGGTGCAGACTGTGGTACTCCAGCACCTCTCTCCTCTTCCTCTTCTTAAGCATCACTTACACTCAGCCACACCTCTCAGCAGTTCCTCCCTGGGTTACTACAACGAGTCAGGGTGAACACTAAATCATTGGCCGTCTAATTTCCATCATCTTTCTCTTCCGGAATTATTATTTTTTTCTTTTTTCTTAAGAGAACACTATATAAAAACAATCCCTAGGTAATTGTTGACCCAACCAACAATATTACTCACAGATAAACTTGACACACCCCGGCTGAAATAGTAAACAGATTGAAAGACACACTTCAAAGTTCAGGCTGGCATGCTTCAATCACTGACTGTGTTTAGTGAACATTTCTCAACAACAAATATCTGTTTGACGCAACAAATAAAAACAAGCCAGTTTAATCTCTACGACTGGAATCTATACAGTTATTATGATCAGCCTTGTAACTCCCACGAGACACAATATTCCTGGACACTATTGTTTGGCCTCATGAATTAAACTTTAATTATCAATGAGTATCTTCATCAAGGGTCAAAACGCTGGAGGTTCAGGAAGACATGAGAACAATACCTCTGATTGTTATATGTACTGAGGTAAGTTGTTCTTTGTTTGTTTACTTGAGAAATGTCGACCAGATGATTGATGGCCTTTTGAAATATTAAGTCTGGGTTTGGTACCACACCTGACTTAGATTTAAAGATCACGATGGTGTGTGTGTGTGTGTGTGTGTGTGTGTGTGTGTGTGTGTGTGTGTGTGTGTGTGTGTGTGTGTGTGTGTGTGTGTGTGTGTGTTTAATATCAGTACGCATTGACACATCCTGCCCTCGATTTGACTCGACAAGGAAGAGCTACAACACAGACCACCGTCTCATTCCCACAACTGAACACTTCAACAAACTGGCCGACTTCTGTGTTGAAAAAGTCCTCTTCCGTCCTCTACGTCTCTATGACCCCCAAAGTGTAACACCCACGCCTCTCTATTTTATAACATCTCCCTTGCCAAGAAAAACAACGACACTGCCTACACATTCTTAAAACACAGAGTCAATGCCTAAGATACACAAAATAAACACTCGTTCATGAGGTCCCCCACTGGGTCACATCCACAGAGGCTTTGAGGATGGGGAGAACACAATCTACTCTCTGCGAGGAAATCTTTTGAGAACTAAGTAGATGCTGTGGACTTAATGAGAGTGCGGTGATAGCCCCACTTGGTAGTCTTGTGTTAAGTGGGAAGACGGGGAGGAGATAGGTGGTGTGGACTGTGGAGGGGAGGTGGAAGGAGAATGGAGGGAAAGAGTGTGTGGAAGGCCAGCCTAGTAGGGGGAGGTGAAGGGGTGACATATAAGTGTAGGGAGGTAAATAAGGAAATAGTGTCGGCTGGGTAGAAGAGGATAAAGTGAGAGAAGAGAAGGGTGATGAACTAAGACACACAAGACAAGAGGGAAGAAGAAGGGGGAGGTGTCAAGGTCGGAAGAACTAGCAGGGAGGGGTGGGCCACACGTTGTTATGGTAGCATGGTGAGGGTAACAGTGTATGTGTGTGTTGAGGTCTGTTGCCACACACCGTTAACAGAGGGTGATGAGGAGTGAGCTGCACATAATGGTCAACAGTGTGGTTATTGGGGATGTGTGGTGAGGGGGGGGGGCCTGGTGAGGAGGAAGGATGGTGAAGGGAACTGGTGAGGGGAGGATTGGTGACCGGGAGGGCTGGTTAGAAGGAGGGCTGGCGACGAGGGCGAAGCGGTTTAATGGGTCGTGGTGCTGGTAGTGTCCTCTCCATCAGCGCACACACACTCACACACACACACACACACAAAGGCTGGTGTCGCATACAAAAGAAAGAACAATCACGATTATACATGTTGATGTGCTGTAACATAAGGAGAAAAGACGCGTATATTTGCCATATAGAATAGTTGAATGGTGGGGATGTCTTGGTATGCTTAAGGCGACAGGTGTATGTAAGAAGAATTTATTGTTTACACAGACTAACATGTTGGTGTGTATCCAGAAGAGTTTTTACCACTACTGTATTACATGAACAAGAACAGTTATGAGACACTCGAATAGCCGAATACTCTGTTGACTAAAACGGATTGTTCCACTGCCATGAATAAGAAAAAAATGGAATCCACAAAACAAATGATTGTTAACTCATACCCAGGGATAAAGACAAGCCAACCACCATAACCACAGTCACAGGAAACGAAACACTGAACTGGAAGATAAAAAAAACAAAAACAAAACATTTTCTTTCATCTGCCCCGCAAGTCTTCAACTAGTGCAACGTGACTCAAGTCTTTCCTGTAAATTTGTTAACAAGACAAACTGTCGCTCACCTTCACCACTTGATGTTGATAAAGGGAGGATGAGTCAGTGAAGTGCCTCACGTGTGTGTAACGACAGTACGAGTTGACTGATCTCACCGTGTTTGACTCCACCACTCACCACTACAAAGAAGACACGACCAACACGGCTAAGGTTGTTGACATTATTTGGGATAATTAAGAGCTTACTTGCTTAAGGCTGTCCGTTGTAGCCGACGACGACTGCTTCATTATGAAATCGATAATGATGATGATGAGTGGTGAACTAGGGATGTTGTCGGTGGTACCACTGGATGTGGCTGTGGAGTCCGATCCTTGACCCGTAGACTCTATCACACATTGGGCAGGACAGCTCCGGGTTGTGTTGCAGGTCACTGGGAGGACGATTGTGTCTCCTTTCCCTACATACACATTTGGCCCTATTTCGCTCGTTCTCGAGATATTTGACGCCTTCATTACAGGTGAAGCAACATAGACTACGGTTGGATGCAATGGTTTCAAGATCCTTTGGAGGAATGTTACAGACAGACAGAAGAAAAAATACTTAACACAACAATCTTTCAAGAATTAAGACAGACTATAGGTGCATCACCATCAGTACCAGTAACACTTTACCAACAGTAGTAAAACACCGCCACCCTAACTCTGTGTGTGTGTGTGTGTCTATATAAGTCTTCCCTTCTCCTATACCTTCTTCTTATGGGTGAAGTCTCTTACAAAATGTTTATCTGTCTCTATGTCTGTCCCTATGTCTGTCTCTATGTCTGTCTCTGTCGTTGTATACATAACATTTAAACACTTCATAATGTCGTCGTCAGTAGCTAATAATAACACAGCCCAGTTGTCAAAGATCACAGATGAGGGACCACTCAGGTATGTAATTGTACAGGTGTTAAAGGTCTCCACGGCACATGCAGCTGCCAACAATAACACAGGAGCTAACTGGAAATAAGTATCTGGTGGGTTTAATGGAGATCTTCGGTCAAATCGACTTATTATTTACTGAAGCGTACATACCCGCAATGTCTAGTTACGTTGTTTGTATATCTGCACTGTCAAAATATATGTATATTGTAATACTTGCATTGTCTATACATATGGTGATTCAGGGTAAACTGATACGTCAATTTTACTGAATAATTCCTTTTTCTCTCTCTCTCTCTCTCTCTCTCTCTAGCACTAGATAAGACACATCAGGTCGCGTGCAGATCAGCTTATTCGTTTTTTTTTTATCAAAGTCAATTTTGTGATCGAAAGAAAAATACTTACGCCCTTTGTAATTCACCAGCAGGCTATATCTATCACAATGTCTCGCTTTATTTTTTTTTCTCCGTATTGCATGACCGAGGAGGAGGAGGAGGAGGAGGAAGAAGAAGAAATGAAGAAGAAGAAGGTCATTCAGATCTCAGTACCCTTTTAAATTCTCGAGGGAAAAAAAAATTCCCACCAATCCCATAAAAAATAGACCATAAGACGAGAGACAAGAATTTATCAGTGCTCGTGTCTGGTCTACCCGCCTCACCCCTCTCCACCAGCCTCGTAAATTCATACACGCGTCATAACTCACTACTAGAGAGGGCGGGGAGTATCGTCGCCCCTGAAACTTGTGAAGGGGAGGAAGACACCAGTTTCTCCTCTCTCCTGGCCTTGCACCTACCCTCCATCTATCCCCGCACCTACCCTTCACCTTCCCTACCTTAACCCTACCATTCACCTACTTTTCACCTACCCTCCAGTTACCCTTCACCTAGTTTCCACCTACCCTTCCACCTACTCTCACCTACTCTTCACCTATCCTGGCAAATGAGTAAATTCGGGTGAACAAGTGAGTAGGTCAGGCAGTGAGTGAATCTTGGAGTGGATCAAGGATTAAGCGTATGAATGAGTGAGTGAGAGAGGGATTAAGGAATGAGCTGTGATTGGATGAACGAATGAGTTAATGAGTAAGTGAGTAAGTGAGTGAGTGAGTGAGTAAGTAGTCTCACCAACAATGTTACTATAAGAGTCTTGGAAGGACAGTCGAAATGTTATGTAAGTTACCGAGTCTGTTGTCAAGGCAATATTGTGTAAAGGTTTGGAAAGTAAGTCACTGTAAAAACAAATCAAATGATATATCTCAGGAAACACTTTTGGAGAGGAAGAACTCTTCTTATTTTTCTTTATAAGTGTCACGCGTCCCAGGGCACTCTGTCAGACCTCGTGCCCCGTGAGCATAAATCAGTACCATGCTGGGAGACACGGATGATTCATGGTTGTTATGAGTTGAGTGGGAATTGGTGTCACAAACGACTCATTTTTAGAAACAACTACATCATGACTATTTAAAAGGTTACTGACCACGAAGGTGAAGACATAGGTAAATATTATAAGCTACACTTACTAACTTAAAACTTACAATTATCAAAAATAAAATCAAACAGAAAATGACGAAAAAAGACAGAAATATGGTAAAACTTGGTGATAATTTATTACAGGTATACACAACACGATGACAGACGTACATGAACTGAATTAAACCAATGAGGAAGTAAAATTCTAACGAATCAATACAAGAGGCGAATCACTGAACAGAAGAGACATAATAAGCTTTAATTAATATGATATACATGAATCAAGCGTACAGTATATCCAGAATATATGTGACAAATTATAGGTTGAGGCAGCAGAACCATGGGAGTATAGGGGGTTACTGGAGAGAGAGAGAGAGAGAGAGCGCTCTCTATGTGTACCCAAGGACCACCACAGCACCGGACCGGACAAGATGATCTATGAGGCTCTTTATACACACACACACACACACACACACACACACACACACACACACACACACACACACACCCTTAGGGAAACAAGAGTGCGTGTCTCTCCTGGCCTCGTGTAAGCAAGGAATTAAGGATGACGAGGTGGGCCAGTCCTGTAGGGTGAAGGCTTTCCTTCCTTACGCACCTCCTCCTCACCATCCTCCATGTTGTTCACTCAAGTCTTCCCACAGGACCACAGATGTTGAAGTTTTCCCCACCAGGACCACAGATGTTGAAGTTTTCCCCCCCAGGACCACAGATGTTGAAGTCTTCCACCAAGGACCACAGATGTTCAAGTCTTCCCCCACCAGGACCACAGATGTTCAAGTCTTCCCCACAGGACCACAGATGTTCAAGTCTTCCCCACAGGACCACAGATGTTCAAGTCTTCCACCACCAGGACAACAGATGTTCAAGTCTTCCACCACCAGGACCACAGATGTTCAGTCTTCCACCACCAGGACCACAGATGTTCAGATCTTCCACCACCAGGACCACAGATGTGAAGTTTTCCCCAAAAGGACCACAGATGTTCAGTCTTCCCCCAGGACCACAGATGTTCAAGTCTTCCCCACCAGGACCACAGATGTTCAAGTCTTCCCCCACAGGACCACAGATGTTCAAGTCTTCCCCCACAGGACCACAGATGTTCAAGTCTTCCCACCACCAGGACAACAGATGTTCAAGTCTTCCACCACCAGGACCACAGATGTTCAAGTCTTCACCACCAGGACCACAGATGTTCAAATCTTCCACCACCAGGACCACAGATGTGAAGTTTTCTAAAAGGACCACAGATGTTCAGAGTCTTCCCCACCAGGACCACAGATGTTCAAGTCTTCCCCACCAGGACCACAGATGTTCAAGTCTTCCCCCACCAGGACCACAGATGTTCAAGTCTTCCCCACCAGGACCACAGATGTTCAAGTCTTCCCCCACCAGGACCACAGATGTTCAAGTCTTCCCCCACCAGGACCACAGATGTTCAAGTCTTCCCACCAGGACCACAGATGTTCAAGTCTTCCCCCACCAGGACCACAGATGTTCAAGTCTTCCCCCACCAGGACCACAGATGTTCAGAGTCTTCCCCACCAGGACCACAGATGTTCAAGTCTTCCCCCACCAGGACCACAGATGTTCAAGTCTTCCCCACCAGGACCAGATGTTCAAGTCTTCCCCCACCAGGACCACAGATGTTCAAGTCTTCCCCCACAGGACCACAGATGTTCAAGTCTTCCACCACCAGGACCACAGATGTTCAAGTCTTCCTACCAGGACCACAGATGTTCAAGTCTTCCACCACCAGGACCACAGATGTTCAAATCTTCCACCACCAGGACCACAGATGTTGAAGTTTTCCCCAAAAGGACCACAGATGTTCAGAGTCTTCCCCACCAGGACCACAGATGTCAAGTCTTCCCCCACAGGACCACAGATGTTCAAGTCTTCCCCCACCAGGACCACAGATGTTCAAGTCTTCCCCACCAGGACCACAGATGTTCAAGTCTTCCCCACCAGGACCACAGATGTTCAGAGTCTTCCCCACCAGGACCACAGATGTTGAGAGTCTTCCACCACCAGGACCACAGATGTTCAAGTCTTCCCCACCAGGACCACAGATGTTCAAGTCTTCCCCCACAGGACCACAGATGTTCAAGTCTTCCCCACAGGACCACAGATGTTCAAGTCTTCCACCACCAGGACACAGATGTTCAAGTCTTCCACCACCAGGACCACAGATGTTCAAGTCTTCCACCACCAGGACCACAGATGTTCAGATCTTCCACCACCAGGACCACAGATGTTGAAGTTTTCCCCAAAAGGACCACAGATGTTCAAGTCTTCCCCACCAGGACCACAGATGTTCAAGTCTTCCCCCACCAGGACCACAGATGTTCAAGTCTTCCCCACCAGGACCACAGATGTTCAAGTCTTCCCCCACCAGGACCACAGATGTTCAAGTCTTCCCCTGGACCACAGATGTTCAAGTCTTCCCCAGGACCACAGATGTTCGTCTTCCCCACCAGGACCACAGATGTTCAAGTCTTCCCCCACCAGGACCACAGATGTTCAAGTCTTCCCCACCAGGACCACAGATGTTCAAGTCTTCCCCCACCAGGACCACAGATGTTCAAGTCTTCCCCCACCAGGACCACAGATGTTCAAGTCTTCCCCACCAGGACCACAGATGTTCTGTCTTCCCCACCAGGACACAGATGTTCAAGTCTTCCCCCACCAGGACCACAGATGTTCCAGGTCTTCCCCCACAGGACCACAGATGTTCAAGTCTTCCACCACCAGGACCACAGATGTTCAAGTCTTCCACCACCAGGACCACAGATGTTCAAGTCTTCCACCACCAGGACCACAGATGTTCAAATCTTCCACCAGGACCACAGATGTTGAAGTTTTCCCCAAAGGACCACAGATGTTCAAGTCTTCCCCACCAGGACCACAGATGTTCAAGTCTTCCCCCCACCAGGACCACAGATGTTCAAGTCTTCCCCCACAGGACCACAGATGTTCAAGTCTTCCCCACCAGGACCACAGATGTTCAAGTCTTCCCCCACCAGGACCACAGATGTTCAAGTCTTCCCCACCAGGACCACAGATGTCCGTCTTCCCACCAGGACCACAGATGTTCAAGTCTTCCCCCACCAGGACACAGATGTTCAAGTCTTCACCACCAGGACCACAGATGTTGAAGTTTCCCCAAAAGGACCACAGATGTTCAAGTCTTCCCCACCAGGACCACAGATGTTCAAGTCTTCCCCCCACCAGGACCACAGATGTTCAAGTCTTCCCCCCAGGACCACAGATGTTCAAGTCTTCCCCCACCAGGACCACAGGTGTTCAAGTCTTCCCCCACCAGGACCACAGATGTTCAAGTCTTCCCCACAGGACCACAGATGTGTTCAGTCTTCCACCACCAGGACCACAGATGTTCAAGTCTTCACCACCAGGACCACAGATGTTCAAGTCTTCCACCACCAGGACCACAGATGTTCAAATTTTCCACCACCAGGACCACAGATGTTGAAGTTTTCCCAGACTACAGATGTTCAAGCTCACCAGGACCACAGATGTTTAAGTCTTCCCCACCAGGATACAGATGTTCAAGTCTTCCCACAGGACCACAGATGTTCTGTCTTCCCCACCAGGACCACAGATGTTCAAGTCTTCCCCACCAGGACCACAGATGTTCAAGTCTTCCCCCACAGACCACAGATGTTCAAGTCTTCCCCACCAGGACCAGATGCAAGCTTCCACCACCAGGACCACAGATGTTGAAGTTTTCCTGAAGGACTACAGATGTTCCATGCCTCTACCAGGACCATGTGCTCTGACGGCATTTTATTGTTGTTTTTTTTACACACATCACTTTAGTTAGAGCAGTAAAAATATGTGGACTTGTGCAGCCTCGGGTTTGTATAATTTAATGTTTATGTAAATATTTCAAACCATAAAGACAGATTCACCTTTGAGGTACCCAGAGCCGTCGGCATTTGATTCTCCCATGAATGACTCTCCAACCATCCTCTGTCTAAGGGCGTCCTCGAGCAATTTTTCTATCTCTCACACTTGCTTCCAACATGGACGTCCTGCTCAACGTTATCTCGCCATCTTTTTCTCTGTTGCGTCTCCTGCCTTCTGGTTTCTCACCATGACAATCTTGGGGCAGTCTGCCATGTGCATACCACATCTCGATCCTCTTTCTTTTATTTTTATTTTTATTTGCGATATTTGTCTTGGATGTAACTGTTGATATCTCTCAACTTAATTGGCTTCTCCATCTGTTCTGACCTGTATCATACAGTGGTTCTACAGTATTTCTGCAGGACTGTATTTTTGCAGACTGGTATCTTTATCTTCAAAGTGCCTTGGTGAGCAGCTATGGCGCTTCACATCTACTTGAGACAGTGGATGGGTGGCATATTGTTTTTTATTGTAGATATAATTTTTTTCCTGTCAAAATATTTTCTATATTAACTTGTAATTCTGTTCATTATCTTTATTACCGTTAACCTTTATGTCCTTAGTCTGACACTTAAGTATCCACCTTCTCACTGTCTATGTCCAATTACACTTCCTCGTTTTCTCTCAGTTCATCAGCCTCTAACCCCATAATCATCGTCTTCATCAGTATCCTCTCTCAAACACCCTTCCTCCTCTGCTCTCAACATCGTGTTCACAGGCCACCAACTTGACCACTTCTTATGAGTCACCACATCATAGGCTCACTTTATTTTGCCTTTATCTTGTGCACAAGAAGTACCTTACTCATGCCACTTCCACTTCCTTATGTTTAAGTATCATAAGAGCCATTTTACAATCACCTAGTATATTTTCTTCATTTCATATTTTTCCGAACAAATCATTCAACTTCTGTGCCATCATACTGCCAACGTCTCTTTAATCACCTCAAGTCTTATAATTATTCCGAAACCTAGTTTCTCAGTTACCTTTAACTGTTTAACACATAAGTGTATTCGTTCTCTCACTTCAGGCCAGGTATTTTTCCCTACACTTTTAAAAACGATCAGCCTCTACACCTGTTCTCTCTCTATAAAAATATTAAATTCATACTTCAAACAAAACATTATCTCCTTTTCTTAAAACGGCCATATTCTTCCTGAGATAACAATATAACTATACATTTCAGAAGCGAAAAATATTATCCAACAGTTACCTGACGTGTATGTAACTCTGAAGTACTGGATTAACATAGTTTAGTGTTTAATGTAAATCTGAAAGTTCAATTATTGTACTTCACCGTGACGAAGAGTCGCTATTGAGCCCTGTTAGTAGACCGTGTGTCCAAGGTTCCCAAACCTACCCTCCCCATCCGCTCTCCTGCCCCTCTCCTTCCCATAGTCTCCTTTCACATACGTCTCCCTTCCCATTCCTCTCGCTCTTCCTTATCCCCCTTCCCTTCTCAGTCCTACCTCTCATCCTCCCCAAAGTCCCCCAGCCCCTTCCCATCCCATTCGCCCCTCACCCCTAAGACACTGCTGGTGCGACAGTCCAGTCAACAGACGTCAGGGACTATAAAGCACAGCCTCCAGAATTAGCGAGGATTAGCGACATCGTCCCTCGTCAGGCTCCTTTACTTGGGACCAGACTGAGGCTTTGTGTTATATTAGAGTAATCTACGCTGAGCATGACGACGCACCTTATATGACCGACACTGGCCACACTCATTGAGTGATAGATGGAGTAAATTACACCACCTGTGTTGGGTTATGATATTTCCAGCAACAGTCATCTGTACCTTAGATTAAAATGACCTAAACTTATTGGGTTTTAAGTTTAGTTATGGTCCATTCTAAATGCCAGAAATACGCACAAAACGCATGTGTAACGGACGGACAGACAGGACAGACAGACAGATAGACGACAGATAGAGACAGAGACACAGACAAATGTCATTCGGCACACCTGCCAATGTGCATAAGGAAAGAAAGAAGAAAAGGTAAAAAGTCTAATAACCTTACGAGGAAATTGGCACAATGAGTGTAATGATGACCACCTGCCCCAGGTGTTGTTAAGATCATCAGGGGAGTGGGTAATGATGTGCCCCTGGCCCCTGTGTGGTGGGGGGCTGGAGACCACTTACCTATGAGGGCTGGGTAGGACCACTACCTGTGAGAGCTGGTAGGGACCACTGTGGGGGCGGGTATGACCACTACCTGTGCCGGGTAGGGACCACTACTCTGGGGACTGTAGGGATCACTACTCTGAGGGCTGGGTAGGGACCACTACCTGTGGGAGCGGGTAGGGACCACTACCTGGGCGGCATGACCATCACACCTGTGGGGGGCCGGGAGACCCACTACCTCGTGGGGACCGGGGACCACTACTCAGAGGGCTGTAGACCACTACCTGTGGAGCCAAGGGACCACTACCTGGTGGGGCGGGTAAGGACCACTACCTGGGGGGGCTGGTAGGGACCACCTGTGGGGACCGGGTAGGGACCACTTCACCTGTGAGAGCCGGGTAGGACCACTCTACCTGTGGGGGGCCGGGTATGACCACTACCTGTGAGGGCTGGGGACCACTACCTGTGGGGTGGGTAGGGACTATGTCTGTGGGGGTGGTATGACCACTACTCTGGGGGCTGGGTAGGGACTTACTACCTGTGGGACCTGGGGTAGGGACTACTACCTGTGGGCCAGGTAGGACCACTACCTGTGGGGCGGGTAGGACTCCACATGTGGGGGTAGACCACTACCTGGGCTGGAGGACCACCTGGGCGGTAGATCCACTAGCATGTGTCTGTAGGGACCACTACTCAGGGCTGGGTAGGGACCACTACCTGTGGGGACCGGGTAGGGACCACCTCTCAGGGGCTGGAGGACCACTACCTGTGGGGACCGGGTAGGGACCACTACCTGTGGGGGCCGGGTAGGGACCACTACCAGGGGACCGGGTGGGGACCACTACCTGTGGGGCCGGGTAGGGACCACTACCTGTGGGGTCAGGGACCACTACTCAGGCCAAGAGGGAATCACTACCTGGGGACCGGGTAGGGACCACTACCTTGTGGGGCCAGGGACCACTGACCGTGGGGTCTGGGTAGGACCATTACCTGTGGGGCCGGGGGACCACTACCTGTGGGGCCAGAATTCACCACCTGTGGGGACCGGGACCACTACCTGTGGGGTAGGGACCACCACCTGTGGGGTCCGGGGACCACTACCTGTGGGCTGGTAGGGACCACCACCTGTGGGGCTGGTGGGACCACTCCTGGGACCGGGTAGGGACCACCACCTGGGGGCCAGGACCACCACCCGTGGGGTCGGGTAGACACCACCTGTGGCTGGGACCACGCCTGTGGGGCTGGAGGGACCTGTCACCTGTGGGGGCTGTAGACCACTACCTGTGGGGCCGGTAGGGACCACTACCTGTGGGGGCTGGGGTGAGGACCACTACCTGTGGGGGGGCTGGGTAGGGACCAGCTCACTCCGTGGGGATTGGGACCGGGTATGGGGACCACTACCTGTGGGGCCGGGTAGGACCACTACTCAGGGGGCTGGGGTAGGGACCACTACCTGTGGGGGCTGGGGACCACTACCTGTGGGGGACTGGTAGGGACCACTACCTGTGGGGACTGGGGACCACTACCTGTGGGGGCCGGTGAGACCATCACCTGTGGGGGGCCGGGTAGGGACTACTAACTGTGGGGACTGGGTAGGGACCACCACCTGTGGGGCCTGGTAGGGACCACTACCTGTGGGGGGGCTGGTAGGGACCACTACCTGTAAGGCCGGTAGGGACCACCACCTGTGGGGACTGGTGGGACCACTACCTGTGGGCCGGGTGGGGACCACTACCTGTGGGGGACTGGGGACCACTTACCTGTGGGGGGCTGGTGAGACCACTACCTGTGGGACCGGAACCACTACCTGTGGGGGCTGGGTAGGGACCACCACTCTGTGGGGTCGGGTAGGGACCTCACCTGTGGGGGGTAGGGACCACTACCTGTGGGGGCCGGGTAGGGACCACTACCTGTGGGGGGGCCGGCAAGGACCACTACCTGTGGGTCGGGTAGGGACCACTACCTGTGGGGGGCCGGGTAGGGACCACTACCTGTGGGGGCCGGGTAACACCTGTGGGGCAGGTAGGGACCACTACCTGGGGGCTGGTAGGGACCATCACCCAGGGGCTGTAGGACCACTACTGTGGGGGCCGTAGGGACCACACCTGGGGCTGTAGGCCACCACTCCGTGGGGGCTGGGTAGGACCATATAGGGACCACTACCTGTGGGGTCGGTAGGGACCACTCACCTGTGGGGCTGTAGGGACCACTACTTATCTGTCAGTTCAACATAACCTAAAAAGTCTTTCTCCTCCTTAATGAAGGAATATCAGGACAACGACTGTATTAATGTAATTTTTGTTACTTTCTTTTCCTTCAAACGGATATCTAGAATAAATATGACTTAATTTCTTTTCATTAAAAAGGACGAAATATATTTATAAATCTCTTTTCACATAATATATATATATATATATATATATATATATATATATATATATATATATATATATATATATATATATATATATATATATATATATATCAACGCAACTCTCAGTACTGTGCACCCTGAGTACTTTCTGACACATGCATGACTATTAAAATTATTACAATTCTTTTATGTCACGAACGAATAAATTACTATCGCTAGGGCGCTGCCTCAAAGACGAAGCAGTACTTCATTAACCAGCTGAGGGTCAAGCACGGCTTGCACTCTGAGACATCATTACACTCAAGAACCACTACACTCAAGACATCACTACACCCAAGACAACACTACACCAAGACAACACTCACACCAAGACACA